ATCAGAAAGTCCACAGTCTCAGGCTGTAGTTCACAAACCTGTGTTTCCCAAAGCTGCTGTGCTCCAAACAAGAGGCTCAGTCCTGATTCAAGTCACTTCTGACACCATGTTTCATGTACAGGAATGCAGATAACACAAGCTGCTGGTGTGAGGAATCATGTTGTACAACAGAACTACATCCAGGTCAGCACAGAACAGGAAACAGGAAGTATAAGGCAATGCAATATTACCATATGCAAGAGGGTCACAGTATTTGCATAATAACTCTATAACAGCATCATCCTGATCTAACTATTTAAAGTCCAGTGATCTGCCAGTCTGTCACTGTTGGGCATATATGGTGTTCTTTTTTTATGCAGCCTGTGGGCTGAAGGAAAAAAGAAAATAAAAATATTTGTCAGAAAGTGTGTGGTATGCCCACTATTAGAATATACCACCCTGAATCCACCCACTTCTAATGTTGGGCATACATGAAATCTTTTTTTTCATTCAGCCCATGGGCCAAATGAATAAAAAGAAGAACAGATTCCTTCATTCACATTGGTCAATGTGGATGAAGAAATCTCTGAAAAAGATATATTTTTTAAATATATACCAACGCATAGTTGTGATCCACCCACTGACCACCCCAGGTCCCATGCTTGGGCATATATGTTCTTTTTTATAACTGCAGATGAGAAATCTAATCCAGCAGTGCTGCACTCACTGACATATATTCTGAGAGTACACCCTGTTGCTGTCATAAAAAGAATAAACAGAGTGGTGCTGCAGCTGAATGGCCTTCCTGAAAAAAAAAGTTAATAAAAACACAGTAAACAATAGAACATTAATTAATTAAAACAACAACTTTTTTTATTGAAATCTGTGCCAAAACATATTATAAAATGCATATGCCGTAGCATAGGATGGATCCACTCACAGGCCATCCCCGGGTCAAATGCTTGGGCATATATGTTCTTTTTATAACTGTGCATATTAAATGTAATCTAGCAATGCTGCATGCACCGATGTATATTCTGAGAGCACACCCTGTTGCTGTCAGAATAAACAGATGCTGCAGCTGAATGGCATTCCCACAAAGAAAACAACAATGGTTAACAATAAAACATTGTAACAACAAAACATTAACTCAGTAAAACGGCAACTATTTTTGGCTTTTTTATTTTTGTTTTTACTTTTTTATGGGTTTTTTTTTATGGTTTTAATTTTTACAAACTGTAAACTAAACAGAATTTTAGGATCTGTTTCCCTATACTACTGTTTCCCTATACTAATACTCCACTAGTGTGTGGTAGCAACAGAAGCAGTCCTTGAGGCAGAGACCAGGTTGGCAAGGACAGGAAGGACAAAAAAAAGGTGGGTGTCACGCCTAATTCTGTGTCTGCAACAGACAAATCTTTTTTGGGGTGATTTTGGGTTGGGGTACCAGGAATGGCATCAGGAACATGCCTCATATAGCTGGCTCACTGCATATTGGTTGGGGAATTTGGGCCACAGCATTTCTGGATACAAAAGGGCTGTGATGATCTCTTCCTGAAATTTTAGGAAGGATCACTTCATCCAGTTGCTTTGTAAAGCACAAAAGTTGTACAGAGCCAACTGAAATAAATATACAGACAATTTTTTGCACCAGCATCTGGCTTTACGAAAAACTAAATACAGCTTCATCATCTGCTCTTTGAAGTCCACCCCTCCCATGTTAAGGTTATAGTCATGGACACAGAGTGGCTTCTCAACAACACCAGCTTGGAACGTCGTGTCTGCATGAATAGAAGACAGAACAAAAACATCCCATTAGTCCTTGCACTTCACTGCGGGAAATTAATAATTTTTCAAGCAGTCTTTCTCCCCCTTTCTAAGTCGGGTATTTACAAGCCATGGGGGGAAGCCCCAGTGATTAGGTCTCACGGTGTTACATGAGCCAATTCCAAGACTGTATAAATGTCTAAATAGTGGCACGTTTGTATAAAAATTGTTCACATATAAATGGTACCCCATATGGAAAAGGGGTGACACCAAATCCCTAACTATCTTGCCACTGCTCCCCATGTAGTCTGGGCATCCGGGGGGATCTTTTCTCTCATAAATTCAAAAATTACATGTATAGCCTGTTGCCCTCTCACAGGTCTTATACATTTGACCCCATATCTGTCATACTTGCTGGGGAGAAACTGTCTGAATGCAAGGCGGAAAGACAAATGAATGAGGGACTCATCAACGCAGATGTTTTGCTTGGGAGTATATAAATCTGCAAATTTTGATTAAGGTGATTTACGAAGGACCAAATTTTGTGGAGCCTATCATAGTCAGGGTCACCCTGAGGATGACGGAATGTATTGTTGTTGAAATGCATAAATTGCGTTATACTGTATTCTCATATCTATGTCCTGGCCATGGCAACAGAGAACACGGGTCTGATGTGATAAATCAGGTCTGTGGACTAGTTTGACCACAACTCATTCTTTTTAGTAATGCCAATGCTGAAGGTTAGGAGCATTAAACATTAAATTCGGAAACCGTAATAGGATTCCTTGCAAATGGTCTGGAGAGGTTTGAATTTGGGTTGGCTGTGATATATTGATATTTGTACAAATTGCTTTGGTCCAAAATCAAAGGGAGTAGTTACATTTGCTGTTTCCACCTGAATTCCGAGTTGGGCAGTGAATGGGGAAAGTACGGGTGCTGTAGAATTTTTAGGATACGAGCCTGTGTTTGAATTCTTGGTGGCGCTACTTTTGCTAGCTACCACACCAGCTTTTACTGCACTTATGGGACTACGTCACCAAATGATACCGCAGAGCTGATATGTAAAAGAACAAGATGTACTAGGCCGCAGGTGCTTGCCAGTTCATGAAAAAGGTAGAACAGCACTACTACTGGTGCTGCTGCATATGAGAATCATCATGCAATTCTAACACATAAGCAACCTGGAAACGGGGTCGGGTATACCTGACCTTAGCAGGCACCTCTACTCCATCATCTGAGCTATCTGCCAGGGTGCCGCTGCTCCCTACAGGTTCATATTCTTAGCCTGATTCTGTCAGTGAGGTGTCCTCTTCACTCTAATCTAACATACTCAGCATCCAGTAGGCCTCTTCAATAATGTACCTTTGTTTGGACATTTTGACCACTAAATTTATAGGTACCTAGTGTGACTCATGGGAAAAAGAGCACCTGGCAGTCAGGGACTGCTTGAACCGTTAGTCCCTGCTAGTTCTAGCAGAGATCATGCCTGATCTTGCTAATCCTGCAGTTTTGTGTACAATATATCAAGTGACAGTGATCCACTGACACTGCACTTGCTAAGGGGGGAAGATGGGGGGCGGAGGTGCTAAACGCTGGTGCTGGCAGGTGTTGGGGCTGATCCTGCTAACACTGCATTTTTGGGTACACTATACTATTGGGAACGCTGGTATAGTTCTGATCTGATAAAAGTTATTGATCTGTTCAGACGCTATACTAGCAATGGAGGTTTATAGTGTGTATGTGAGCTTGTTCCAGGCAATCATAGGGTTAACTAAATAATCAAACAATAATCAAATAAATGTTGCTACATGAAAAATGTGCATAAATTAATTGAAATGATATAAGTCCACATTCATATATTGAATAATTAAAATTCCCAAAATCCAATAACACAGTGCTGTGTGCAAAAGAAATACTCCAACGGAAAGTGCATAGTTGTCCACAAATGCTTGACACAAAAGAAAAAATCAGCATCTTACCAGACACTTTGATCTCCAATCAAGAGATCAAACGAGCAGATGATGGTGTTCAGATCCCACACTGACACCCTAGTTAGCCGTATCAAGGAGATGAATAGGAGATAAATGGACAACTACAGGTTCACTTGAACAAATTCACCACATTAGACAGTTCTTCACATCATGTAAGGAAAGGTTTAAAACAGGAGAAGAAAACTTCATAGTGCTCCCCGCTAAACCAGCAAAGAATGTATTAAAGTATTGCACTTACATAGATAAGGTGCATAAAGGCAGTGTAAAACATTTAAAATTCCCACAGTGTCAGACCATCGGGCCGAAACGCGGTAACGTCACAGAAAGCTCCACCTGACAAGCGTTTCTCCAAAAATGGCGTCCTCTGGGATTGGAGAACAGTGATTTTGGGACTTTTAATTATTTAATATATGAATGTGGACTTACTGTATATCATTTCAATAAATGTATGCACATTTTTCACGTAGCAGCATTTGATTGATTATTGTTTGAGATTATTTAGTGTACTGCGCACTAAATTTTTTATACATATTTTGTATTTTCTGGTGTTCAGGGAAAGGAGTAGCAGCAGTTCACTAATTGTTTCAGAATATATATTTTTTCACACATTTATTCACACATTGTATTGTCTGGGGTGTAGTGCAGGTTTTTTTTTTTTTTTTTTTTTTTTCCCTTTTTTCAAAGGTTTAAACGTGATGGTAATGTAGTGGTGGGCAAACTGGTGCTATCTGGGAGGGGATGCTAGCCGATGTCACCCGTAGCATTAATACAGTGATAATTAAAAAATCTGTACACTGTACTAATGAGACTGATGACAGAGCAGTGAAAGGGTTATCCAGGGGGCTAGATATGACCTAGCTGTGTTTTTACTGTGCAAGTGTGCTGCTTAGAGAGAAGATTGCATCATTTACATTACACAGGCACAGGAAACAGAGGCACAGGAAGACCTCTGATTCAGTACAACCAATCAGCAGGTCCAAGACAAACATTTGCCTGAATCTGGTGAGTGATTGGCGCTGTACCAAATCACAACACTGCTGGGCCGGTGCGCGTCTGGCCCATGAACACGGATTATGTTTATATACGTGACTTTGCACAGTAAAGCTACAGGAGGCAGTCGCCAAATGGTTAAAGTCTATAAAGAAGCTCTCTGATCATTTGCCTACCCACTTCGCCATTATGGTGCCTGGATAGATACATACTGTAACCCAGGGCTTAAAATTTCAAGTCCTGAGCTACTAATCAGGCCTTAGAGTTACTCGTCACCAACAAACACACACAGACACCTGTACACACAGACATGTACATACACACACACACACACACATATATACACACACAGAAACATGTACACACACGCACAGAGACACATGTACACACACACATACAGACAGACACATGTATACACACACAGGCACAGACACGCATACACACAGATACATGAACATACACAGAAATACACACGCACAGACACATGTACATACATACACAGACACATGTACACACAGACACACAAAACACACACACACATGTACACACACACACACATACAGACACATGTATACACACACAGGCACGTACAGACATGCATACACACAGATACATGAACATACACAGAAATACACACGCACAGACACATGTACATACATACACAGACACATGTACAGACACATGTACATGCATGCACACACACGTACACGTACACACACACACACACACACCCATAAAAAGTTGCAGTACTTCGTTCTTCACGCACAGAGCCGGATACTGCACTCTAGGGGGAGGCAGAGAGCACAGCACACACTCCTTCCTTTGCTTTCACTGCGCTCAGCTATTGAGCAGTCTGACGGCTCCTAGTGCCAATGACGGATCTGGCCTGAGCTCCGAGCCTGCTCAGCAAGACCGCCCTGGGGGACACACTCGCCCCCCACCATAATTTCCACTCGCCATTGGCGAGCAGGTGAGTGGAAATTTCAAGCCCTGGTGTAACCTATATGCAAAGAAATTGAAGCGCTGCCTTAAAGTACTACAAAACGTTCCCCTGCAGTCCAAAAGCACAGATCAGGTGCCAACGTTCAAACAAGCTCATCCAGGTCAGCAGGAAACAGATCGGAAGACAGAAGGTCTATCATTAAGCGCCATAGGTGGGGAGATACATGTCAGAGAAGCATAGGGTGAAGTTTAGGGTGAAGCCGGATTTTTACCTTTCTATATAGTGGCTGGGTTCCAGTGTGCAGCATTCCCAGCTTCTTTCTTCTGATTTGGACAGATACATTGAAAAAAAGACATAAGTCCATCTATTTCAACCAATAGAAAAAAGACGAAAACCTCCTTAAACACAATCCTATACCAACAGTTGATCCAGAGGAAGTAAAAAAAAATAAAACAAAGCATAATCCAATTTGCTGCTGCGGTAGAAAAAACTATTTCTTCCTGATCCCCCAGAAAGCAGACAAAAATTACCTGGATCAACTAGCCCTGGTGTTCTTACCTATAAATGTTAGTATCCAGTTATAAAGACTTCCCCATTGTCCTCTGTAATGATTTGAAAGTGACCACCACTAAGTTCGCTGTTATGATCCGCCAGGTGGTGCCTCAGGCTGCCAACTGACAGACCCACTCAGAGCGTGGGGTCTAAGCCCGGGCTGTGCTTTCACCAGAGCCCCTGATGGTGGGGATGGACTTGAAACAGTCCCGGGCCAGGTCATGACCTCCGAGCAGGCCCACCAGTGGCTGAGGAGACCTTTGGGGACAGGTACCGGGAGAGCCAGATATGAAGAGGATGGCGGCCCCAGCAGGGTAGTAACGGATCGTGGGACCGTGAGGGTAAGCGGGGTACAGAATCGGTAGGCGAAGAGTAGTCGGGTCACACGCAGGGTCAGCAGGGAAGTCAATCCGTAGAATGGTCAGGGCAATCCGGGTCAAACGCAGGAGCAGGCAGAGTAGTCAGGACAATCCGGGTCAATCACAGGAGCAGGCAGAATAGTCAGGGCAATCTGGGTCAATCACAGGGGCAGGCAGCGTAGTCAGGGTCAATCAGGGTCACTAGACAGGTGCAGGAACTCGGGATCACAGGAAGACCTTGCGGCAATCTGTGACAGTGCAGGGCATCTTTAAATAGTGCGCCCTGCACTGTCATTGGCCGGCTAGGACGCGCCCCCGGCTGTCATTGGGCGCCTGAGGCGCGCCCCCGGCACCTACTGCGCATGCGCGGCGTCCTGTCAGCCGCGGCTCGCCGGGACCTAGTGCCTGTGTCCCGGCGCGATCTGCCGCCAATGCGCATGCGCGGGGGACAGAGCCGCGATCGAGGAGCACGGAGCCGCGATCCCTGACATTCGCTATAAGAACCATGTAATCTTATCCCTCCTTAATTGCCTCTTTCCAATAGAAAATAAACTCAAAATTCATTAGCCTGTTCTCTTAACCCTTTCATGGCATTATTTTTTTTTTTTTTGCTATTACAGGTGTGACTCCAGAGAAGAAAACCGAACTGCCAACAAGCAAAACTTCAATAACAAAAACAGGAATGGCCATCCTCAAGGATTGCTGTGGGACCACCCAGTGCAGCATTATGTAACACACAGCCCGTGATTATCTGAATTCTCCTATGATTTGCTGGCAGGGTTCTTTAGGAAAGGGTTCAATGCATCTAGAATCCTACTGCCAAGAACTATACGTGCTGTAGATATTACAGTACTGCATTTACCAATAGTGTATCCCTCTCTGTCGCATGGATCACTCAACGAGCATGTTTAAAGAGGAGCGTGTATGTACCAAGAGATATATATATATATATATATATATATATATATATATATCTATCTATCTATCTCAGGATGGCCAGCAGCAGTACTGATTTGTACAAGCCTGAGTGATGATTACTTAGTAGAAATAGTAGTATGTGTTGTCACCTCCTTTGAGATATTAACATGCTGTGTATATAATATGACTGAGTATAGATATCAGGTGACCCATGTAAAGCCCTAGAGAGTGAATTCCTACAATGCATAACAGCTCTACCAGCCCTGCAGGATTTTAAAGGTAAGAGGTACATGCCATACAGCTCAGTGCAACCCAAAACATTATGTCACTGGAACAATTTGTCCTTTATTTATTAAAACACAGTGAGCAGAAACCAACTTTCACTGGCCTGAAACAAGCAACTCAAAGCTGAAGTTTGAATTGGGGTAGAGTACACAGGTCTTTAAATTAACATTTACTTGATTGCTGCCATCCATATGATTTGCCATTTCAGAATACCACTTTTGCTTGCAGGATTACATCACATTTAAATCAGCCTAACATTTTTGATCTAAGTACCCTCAGTATTACAGAACTAGAAAAGCAAATGTGTACCAGTAGTACTATTAAAACCCTAACAGCAAGAAACAAATTAACTTAGTTTTATCATCATTTTGTCAGTTACAAGCTAATTTGATCACCAAATATAAGGGTAGCCACACGTGACTCAATCCCTGCTGGTGATGTTTCTGATTAAGGAGAATGTTCATCAATAAAGCAGTCTGGGCTTCCCTGGGGAGAAATAACTTGCACTTGTCAGAGACACTTGCAATGTGTTTGGTCGTTCCCATAGCATATCCCAACAAGTTACAAGATGGGTAGATGGGCAACTTCTCACTGTTCTTGGCAAGACATGCATCTTTCTATGGCCATCCCAAGGGATCAAAGTATACGCATTATGAAGAAGTCATCATCAGAATTAACTGAGAGCCCTGTTATGCTCCAATCGCACAAAAGGATTTTAGATTGGAAGATGGTTAATGAAGCATTCTGAGCCTTCGTAGTCATGCATGTATTTTTGTATGCACGCAATCTAGTTAGATTGCAGTTCAATGACTTTAAGGGGGAACTATAGCATTTTTCCTTTTTATTTTACAATTTAAAAATGTAAATGTGATACGCTTAATGTAATGAATCTTATGAAAGAGTATTGAAATTTAAAAACCTTGTTTCTATGTATAGTATGTAAATATTTTACAGTATGTACAAGTGACAGCTACATCTGCCTATTAGATAGTCTAGCTGTGCTTCCTACTTAGTACTGGAAATTATTGGTCTGTGTTACTGATATGACCCAAAGACAGTAGAGTCTGTATAGTTTTAGTATGACGTATTAAAACAGATTTGTATACAGCTAAAGCTATGCATGTAAACCTGTTGGCAGCCTGAAATGCAGACAAGACACAGCACCTAAAAATCTAACCAGGCATTGTTGACTTGTTTTTAAATGTTCTGTCCCTAACATGTTTATATAGCTTCAGTTTTTACTACCTGCTATTGACCTAGACAAATATGAAGTCATAAAGTCTAAAAATAATCTGTAGGCCTGTTCTGTATACTTATTCCAGAGTTAGGGAGTGAGCTGGAGCTTGGCTTTATCTAAATCTGCTAGTGCATCTAACATTACCCTCCCCCTTAGACTGATAATGCTGCTGTCCAAAGGTGCTCCTGGGCTCCTTCATCCAGAGTGAGGGCTCTAATACAAGAATTGTGTTACTGGCCAGATCAGGTAACAACAAAGGGAAAAATGCATAAAAAAAAATATAATGAATGCAGCCATCATATCAAATAATTGGTAAGCTGCAATATATTACATTTTTGGATTTAATACCGACCCAAGGCACCTTTTGGAATGTTTAGTAATGGTAATCTACAGATACACTAGATTGCTAAAAGTATCGGGACACCCCCAAAACATTGGATCCAGGTGTTCCAATCTCCTCCATGGCCAGAGGTGTATAAAATCAAGCAACTAGGCATGCAGACTGCTTTTACAAACATTTGGAAAGAATGAGTCGCTTTCAGGAGCTCAGAGAATTCAAGCATTTTTAACGTAATAGGTTGCCACCTGTGCAATAAGTCCATCTATGAAATTTCCTTGCTACTAAATATTCCATAGTCAACTGTTAGTTTTTTTTTATAACAAAGTGGAAGCAACTGGGAACAACAGTAACTCAGCCATGAAATGGTAGGCCACGTAAAATTACAGAGCAGGGTCAGCACACGCTGAAGCGCACAGGGGGCATAAGTCGCCAGCTGTCTGCAGACTCATTAGCTAAAGACCTCCAAACTTTGTGTGGCCTTCAGATTAGCACAACAACAGTGCATTGAGAGCTTCATGGAATTGGCTTCCATGGCCGAGCAGCTGCATTCAAGCCTTACACCAGGTACCATGCAAAGTGTCAAATGCAGTGGTGAAAAACACTCCCCCACTGGACTATAGAACAGTGGAGACATGTTCTCTGGAGTGATGAATCACGCTTCTCTGTCTGGAAATCCGATGGACATGTATGGGTTTGGCAGTTTCTAGGAGAATGGTACTTGCTTGACTGCATTGAGCCAAGTGTAAAGTTTGGTGGAGGGGGGATTATGGTGTGGGGTTGTTTTTCAGGGGTTGGGCTTGGCCCCTTAGTACGTTGACACCTTAAGAGTTCCCTTTACTGGAACGAATTGTCAAGCGCCTGTAGTAGTGAGCCCTTGTGGCTCACCAATTCGGGGTTCCCCCGGGCACGGAGTCTAAGCCCCAGCCTGCTTCTTCACCAGAGCTGCTCCTGATGGTGGGGATGGACTTGCAGCAAGCTAGAACCAGGTTGTGGCTCCCAGGTACGCCCAGCTGAGGATGCAGAGACCGCTTGTGTGAGCAGAGTACAATGGCAGGAGACAACAGGAAATCCAATAGACAAGCCGAGGTCAGGATGAGCGGATATCAAGCACAGTCGGTGGACGAAGCCGGGGTCGGTACACAGGTAGTCAGATACAGGAGTAGCAACAAACAGGAGCTAAGAAGTTGCTCAGGCAAAGTGTGCTAGACTGAGCATGTCTTATATAGACAAGCAAACTAGGAGGCAGGCCAGGAAGTGATGGAAAGGAAGTAAATAAAACCCAGAGAATAGCGGGGAACGCCCACATGTGGGCACAGGCAAACCATACATGTGAAGGGAATCAGGAAAAGCACTGC